ACCTCCACAAGGGGGCGTCATTAAACAACTCTTTGTGCTCAGTGATGATGCTGCAGCAGCTCCCAGAGGCCTGTAGATCTAACTGAGCTCATTATGACCACAGTGCTTCAGCTAATGTTGTTCTTAATGAACAGACAGGGACTGTGAACCTGTCTGCAAAAAGCAGACGTGCAATGAATCAATGACTCAGATTTGGGATTATTGCCACTGGGATTTTATTTACTCCAGATTATAATGAATCGCCAAAGCAGTGAAATCCCTGCATCACCCTCTCACCAACTTCTCCCGGTGAGACAGATAGTTGCAGCCAAACAAAGATTAAGATGTGAAATAAATCCATATGCAACATGAGCTGTTCTTTACAGAAAGAGATACTTTAGATTTCACTGTTTAATATTTAACATAGATTAACAGGAAGGCTGAATTAAAGGTCACCAATGCCCCTGAGGTTTACTGTGATGTTTGTGTGGATTACCTCCACCAAGGAGGTTCTGTTTTCACCTCTATTGTTGGTTTGTCTGTCAGGATGATGCAAAAACTACTGAATGAACTTCCACAAACTTTGGTGAAGCTGTGCGTTTTACTGAGACTGTTCAATTTGAAATCTGGGATTATTTGCACACTTTCCATGAAACAAAAAAACTGCATATTTGCATCTAATGAAATATTTATTACACCAGCAGTGGTTTGAGAATTAAAGGGTTACAACTGAATTGCTGACTAAACTTATAAAATTGGAAAAATTACTTACATGAGTTATAATTCGATCACTTTAAAGAACTGTTACAAATAAATCTGAATTTTTCAGCCAAATTTAACTTATCGGCAAAAGTCAATGAACTGTAAATATGCTGTAAATTGAACTGGTGAACATGAGCATGTTTGTATCAGTACACGTGATGAGGATGATGTCCTGGTAAATAAGTCAGTTTGTAAACAGGATCAGAAACAGCACTGTTAACACGTCACTGCTCTGCAGACATTAAACACATCTTCAATATAAATCAACATCAGATCAACAGAAACACAACACACTGAATTCTTCATGAAAATTTGACATTTTAATGGAAACTAAAATTGTGAACATTGGAGTTTTCTTTTTTTATTGACTCTATTACACTGTTTGGAATTTGAGGGTTATTATCATGCTTTAAAAAAAGAACATTGTAATGTGACATTTCTGTTAAATTCAAACAAAAAAAAATTAAATAATCATACTGCTCACTTAAAAAGTCGACCTGTAAGACATCTGAAAATGAAATGCTATTGCCTCTTATTTTAGGGTTACAAGAGGTGCAGATGTGAGAAAACAGAACAAAAGAAAAAGCACAACGACCATTTGAGATGAAAAGAAAACAAAAAGATGACTCGGCACATGAAAAGACACGTTGGCCGAGTTTACTGTCCATGTGTGGGATCAGAAACACTGTACCTCTCAGGTGTCACTGAATGAAACAAAGAAAACTAAAACTAAAATAAAAACAGTTCCACAACAGGCAACGACAGTTTAAAGGAGGGACAGTTTTTTAGTCGAGCACAAACACCAAGTCCAGCATTTCCCATAACAGACGACTGATTACTGGATGAAGAAGCAGCACTTTCGGTATTTGTTTTTATCTGTTGGAGATTTCTCCTCTCACACCGTATAACAACGCGCGCAAAGTGACATTCAGCTGCTACAGTAGTGACTCCTCCTCACGATGTCAGGGAGCTGGTTATGACATCATTAACAACAACAACAACGTTTGCCGTTCAGTAGCTGAATATCTGAGTAGTGTACCTTTGGCGAAAGCAGATTCCGAGCTTGTTGAACTGCATGTTAATACCTCATCCCCTCCTCACAACATGATCAGCACTAACAAATGAAAATATATTAAAAGAGGAACTCGGGGATGCAGCGTGTTTCAATGCTCGTCACTCCATCACAACTATCTGAAGAAATGCATTAAAGTAATTTGTATGAAAACGTCAAATATATTAACACTGGTGCTATGGGGTGGGGGGGTAGGTCAGTCTTAATCAATAACTAAATCAACTAAAACTCATCAATAACATCTTGATTTTCTGTGTCATTTATTCCTTTTAGTCTCATCCTACTTGTGCATCTATGGATAAATTAGATAAAACTCAAAAAAACATGTCGAAAAGTTAATTTGTTAAATCAGTTCATATGAATTATGTGCTACTTCAGACATGAATGTAATGACAATAGACTGGCATGAGTACAAACCAGCGAGCGGCTGTCATCCAGCCCATTCTAAACTGATTTTGGCTTTAGGTCACACAGTTCTGAACACAAGCCATGACAATTTCAAAACCTACAACACGCACGCACACACACACACTCACACACAACTGCTCATCGCTTTCAGCTGTGTCCATGTCACTTAAAAAAAAATTAGGGTTCGCTGTGAGAAAAACTTAAAACAGCATCGCAAATGTTACAGAAAAAGAAGAAAAATGGCACGGATATATTCTGGAAGCAGATTTTAAACAATCAAAATTGCTGTAAAAGTACTTTTAATTTTTCACACAGGCACCTGAACATGAAACAGCAGGAGGGGATGGAAGGGAGAGGGGCAGGGGGTTCAAAATATATGAGGAACTTGCATATTATAGGAAGAACTTGCTATGCACACAACCATGAAACAACGAGGCCAAACTCGCCACTCACAACCGGGACGCCCGCTTCAGCGTCCTTGAGGTGATTGCACGTCCTGAGGGGGGCGAGAGTAGGAGCTCCACACATGCACCAGGCTCTTTCAGTCAGTCACTCATCAGTCACCCCCTCCATCCACATCACTGATTAACACATCTACTCCGCTTCCACAACCTGTTTTTGGTTTGCAGGCTACAACGCTAATAGTTCTATCTTTTATAAATGCATATTCGACATAGCCTTTTTGCTGTATAATAAGTGCTTGAAAATAAGAGGAGCCTTGGGGCAGGAGGACGAGAGATTCTCTGATTTCTCTGTCGCAGGGCGATCCTCTCGAAAAACCAAAACTTTTAAAAAGAGAGAAAAATGTTAAGACTACAGTAACATCACGTACGACTCATTCCGATCACCCTGTTTTACATTTAGAAGCCTATAGATGCATCACTGTCCACTGAACAATTTGGCATTATGGTAACCTGATTATATCACTGTCTGTGGATTATGGGCAATCAGAGGAAATTAAAGTAAAAACATTTTGCATGACTTTACGCCAGATTAAATATCTCCACAAGCACAAAAAACAAAGTCTACATGCTAATGGACAATATCTTGTCAAATACCTCGGCGTCCTCATCAGCCAGATCTTATTCAGGGGGCAGCATCTGATAATACTCATCTATCATATGCCAAACAGTGGAAGCCTTAAACAAAGCATTTTAAATACCAGAGAGCTGACTGCGATTAGACGTGGAAGTTAAATGTCAACTTGTACAAAAAATAAAAAAACATTGGCTGCAGTTATGACTTTCTTTCGGCACACAGGTACAAACTGTGCCGCTGCCTAATCAGGACACAGTGGGAAGAAGTGTACTCCACAGTCTGATTTTCCAGGTTGTATCTCCCCCACTAACAACAAATAAGAAAACACCACTAATGTTCAGCAATCATACAAATCAAGAGGTGCTTCACTATGAACACGAGGAAGAAAATAAACCATCAGAGACAGCAAGATTACAGTCTAGTGTACATTAAAACAGCGCATGGAGCAATGTGCTTATTTTTCTTCTTTAAAGGGGAACGGAACATTTTCAGAGCCCACAACGATCAATGACAGCACCGTGCATGCCGAGAGTTTGCCTCAAAAAAGGTTATTTGATGTTTTGTCACATCACATGAGACTCTATAGCAGGACTCCAATTCATTGGTTCCAATTATGAGAACATAACACGACAGGGGCCGTTTGGCAAAAAACTATATTCAACATAGTCATGGCTTTATCAACACTACCTGAGTTACATTTAATAATTCTGTATTTATCGACTTGTTTTTTTGTTTTTTTTAAGTAACAGCCCAAAGCCATTCTTTCAAGGAGCATTTCTTGTCAGTACATATAGATCTCTCTAGTAATTAAAAGATAAAAGCAATTAGTTTACATAAAGTGCTAATAATCCACACATTAACCAAATCATGTCTTCTAGAGCAAAGAAACCTGCACGGTTCCTTTTGTTATGTAGAATAAACCAATCCTGATTTGGAGATGGTGATGGAAAGAGATGTCACAGCTAGCTAGTTAGCAGTTAGCTGTTAGCAAATGTGGGCTCCATAGACATAATTAGATCTTTCAACATGAGCTTTTGCAGAAAAGATTTAAAAATAAAAATAAAAATGCACCTTTAACATTTTTGAACTGCAGGCCACAGCAGAATCTTGGGTGATAATTTTGTTAGCTCCATACAACCCATATCATACATTGCTTGTATGAATGGTTCACATGGGGGTTATTGCACACTGGTTTGCAAAGGTTATCTACAGTAAAACATAATAGTACAACTTATCTTCACATTTCAACACGGTTTGACAAAGTGGCTAGTCAAGGGGGATCCTAGATTAGTATTGCGATTGTTGTTGTGTTACTGTAATCTTTGTGTGGCGATCAACAGTGACCTCTGACTCATTCATTTCCACCAGTAAACATGCAAGAAATACAATGCCATAAGACTGAAAAGTAAAGACAAAACACTGAGTCAGGGAAATAAAACAAAAATTCCCAAGTCATAAAATTCATTACGTTCCTTTGACGAGAGCTGAACTAGACAGAAACAGGCAAAAATCATGTGTATGGATATCCTGACTCTTCCTGCAAACACTTTGTTTGAAGAAACTTCTCTCACTTTACAGTTTGTCACCCAGTTTATTCCTAAACTAAGACTTCACATATAATCAGGTATACGAGTCTGAATTTAAGAACAGTCTGCACTGACCTGATAAAAATCTACATGAAATGTACGAGAAGCTCAAAGATATA